CGGCACGTGAACCGGATTTACATATCGAAGGTTCCGAATAAATATAAACAATTTCATTGTAAATTATATGAACAATTATTTAGGTGCGTATGAATACTTAATTCTTTATCTACGTGATAGCATTAAAAACACATTCTACGTTGGTTCAAAACAGATGTAGCAATAATATCAATCCAAATATTGCAACTAATAATTATAATATTATATTATATGTATTTGCTGAATATTTTTGACGATTGAAACATTTCTATTCAAAAACTGTGCACGTTCATATCCCTACATACTATAGCAAAAACCTCTAGTAAAAAATTAATAATATTTTCTATCTTCATATCTTATTGCAATTAAACCATTATTTCTAAAATACAGCACGTAAGATTATATTACATATAGTGTATATTTTTGATTGATTTATTATAATAAAAATGTGTTTATCAAAGACAAATGTAAAACAGAACTCTAAAATAGAGTCTAGTCAGTGTACTGTATTTTTAAACGCAAGTAATCTACATTATTAAAAATTGTTAATAGTTAACAGAACGCTATGAACGTATGCAGTATTCTAAAAATGTAGGCATCTCAGTACATACAGAATTCCATTCAAAATTATCTCCAATTACAGGCTAATTCATAATTACTGCTCGCCGTACCATACGAGTATTATTAGAGCCGTGATTATAATTGGCTCTTACTGGAAACCTGCATAGTTGACGATAAATTTTGTAGTCTACGTATTGTAATAATAAATAATGAGAAAAAGAATATAAGTAAGGCGTTGAATTTGTACGTACGGCTTATGTTGAAAACACTTTATCGCGGGCAATGACGTAATGCATTTTCAGAGTGACGTTAGTGTGACTTTGTCACATTGTGGGTGGAAATTTGACGGCAGAGTGACTCTAAATAAATCATCTATGAAACTAAATGAGCGACAATAAAACGCTGTCACTTGCATTATGATGAGCTGGACGTACGTGACGTCATAAAGTGACGACAGAGGGATGTCCATAGTTGGATTGTAACGAAGAAAGTCGTAATTCAACTTCTTCATCACTATTTAACAGGTATAAAGAAGAGTAGACTTTAGTAGAGTGGAAGAGCTAAGAGCCGTGATAAGGTAGAATAACGTTTGGTACGCTATGACATCTTAAGGCTTTTTATTAGGTTATTCAATAAAATCTTCCATGCAACTACATTATTCAAATAATACGAAAATGATTAAATACAACACAAATATTCCCGCTTTTCGGGAGTTGTCTACCACACATCGTACAGATCTAATGTTCCGATATTTTGTGTATTCCGAAACACATGGTTTAAGACTTCGCTTGATACCTTTTATTGCTGTCATTATTGGTTTAGGTAATCTGTTGTTTTGGTATCTCCATATTGTAGTTTGGCAAATTGGCTTAAATCAATAATAATCATATATATATCTAGCAACTAGAGTTAAATTAATTATTATATCTAAGCAATTTACATTATCATAATATCATTTTACAGTAAATTTAGATATAGTTTTTGGAATAAGAATATAATATAGAACTGTGAATTTCATTATAGATTCTATAATATTACTTTTGTGACCACAATTAATAATTAAGTAAGTAATGAACACCGAACATATAAATATAAAGAAAGTAAATACGTTTACAATATTTTTTAATACCTACAGTCCCTTTCAATAACAATATAACCATACATTTGTTATTATTCCCTAAACAGAAGACTAAAATTCCGAATATGTTAGGAAAATTGTCGTCGTCTGGGAACCCTGTACATAACTTATACTTAATGTAACCTCATCAGTCTATAATACAAATACAACAAACAAATTTATAAGATAAATTAATTAAGACATTTTTGCCCATGTAATTTAGATGTAACACGAGATAATTACATTTAGTACTTACAAACCACTATTAATATTTTGATGTAGATTAATTACGTGTATTCATTTCATAGCTACCACTGGCATCGATTATTAACTATAATACCATAGATTACGATAGCTTAAAACATATTTGCCGTTACTCTGTCAAACATTACATAAATATTTACATCCATCATCCATTACAGCCTTGAGAGTCATCAAACATGATTGATTTTTTCGTTAATTCATTCTCCAATACAAAAATCTACATCACACGTGCAAACAAAAATTATATCATCATTTATTTTATACACAAACAAATTACACTCTTTATTACTTTAGTACAAATATTTTAATTGGCATATTCGTTAATCAAAATATTAAGACACATAACTATCTAACAATAAATATTAATGTTTATCAGTTTATCACATTTTAGAATGATGTAAACGGCAATATTATTCGACGGAATCGATTTCAATGCGATGTATCGAGTTATTTGTATCGATTGTGTGGCAAATAGTTTATTGATTTATATTAAAAGTGATTATTGGATTGGACACGGATCGCCTGTGAGACCGTTATTGATATTTATTTAGCCAATTACAATGAAATTGATCGATTAATATTATTTTGTTGTGATGTTATTTAATATTCTACGTAGAATTTGTGAATTTAGTTAGAAATTCATGGTACAGCCTGCGAGTGCGCAATTGTAATGTCTGTCTGTATATTTTGCCCGTTCGATTTGCTCTACTGAACATAAATTGACATTTTGATATATTTATAAAATAAATAATTATTTACGGAATTAATAAAAGGAGATTAACACAGAGATGCACATAAAGGTCAACTAAATTAACTATGAAAAGAAATTAAAATAAGTAAAATAAAACCTCTGAATTTGTATATCATATAAAATGTATTTAATTTGTAAGATGAAACTATAAAAATAGCTGAGGCTGTGTATGTGTGAGTTTTTGGTAAATATAGCACGAAGAGATGATATAACATATCGATTAAAAGTGCATGGTAGCTCAGTGGTTTATAAAAATAATATAAGGATATATATATTATATATTATATACTAAAATAAATCAAAAGAAATGGTAGAATATACGTATGTAATGTATGTCTATATCTAGATATATATATGTATTTTAATTGTATGCGAATGAACATAAAAAATATTGATATTGTTAGAGAAGCATAGATTAGTCATATACAGGTCGCTTTTCTATATGTATTGAAGAAACATACACGTCGTATATCTGTTCACTCAATAATTGCGAGGGATGCTATAATAGCTCGATGAAGTGATTCCACTTTCGATCTCTGCAGATATCCGATATATTAGTGATAAACAAAAAGATACAATGATTAGAGCGGATATACATCAATTATAATAAAGATATTGTGAATTGGAACTAGTAACAATACTTTTTAGGCGAATTTAAAAATTATGTACACAATTCCATTATAATTTTTTTGGTATACATTTCCCTGATAATATTTAATGTAATGTGAAGTTTCTTCTTGCGATTGACTTCTGATTGCTCTTAAATCGGTTTTATACAAACGTAAAATTTAAAGTAATTTTATTTACAGAACAAAATCTTAACTAACCACTATTTCTTCTCAGAATTGTATGTTATTCAACATTGTTATTGTAGTCAATTCTTATGACAATTGACTTGGCTTACTCCTCAGCATTTTTACAATTTCAAAAACCTAAGAATGTTTAAATTCTATAATACAGGTCAATAAACTGTACCTACACGTTCCCCACGAAGTACAGAAACAATCCCATAACCGCTCTATTATATCAACTGTGTGGTAATAAGTTTCTGAAGTACCCACAACGATTAAGTTGGGTTTGTGAGTGGTCCGACGTTTAGCGCTCGTTTGCCTGAACGATTGAGATTTCGCTTGCGTGTATGAAAACTGTTATTACTACATAAATAATGGAGTAAATTATTGATATTAATCGAAATAACTTTCCCATGTTGATTTCTTGATAAGATTTAGTTACTTAAAAACCTAATCTAATTATATACTTATTGATATATATGTTGATATTTTTTTTTATAATTGGAATAGTAAACAAGTGATGGTAAGTGTTAGCTGTAGTCTATATGCCAGAACGTGTTGTTCATATATATCGGGGCCGGTCACATCACGTTACACGTGACAGCCGTGATTCAAATCACTTTTAGAGGAGTAAAATCTCTAATTATAGATTTAGATGAATTCTATAATTTCATTATCTAATTGCACTCTTTTATGTCGGCCACATTTGAACTGACTACCTTTTTGGCGTTCGTCATTCAGTCGGTCGGTATGAAAATTCCTAACAAACCCCTCCCTTACCCATAAAGATTTTGTTGTGGGCGAAAACACGAGTACAGTCGTAAATAAGTATTAGCATAGGACTGATAATTTGTAGGAGTATTTAAAATTTTGATTTATGTTTCATACAACAAATATTCCAATCAGTGACCGGCTTTGAAATCAGTGGTCGTTTGGTGAAACGTAATAAGTGCAGTATGATGCGGTTAGCCACAAGTTGCCAAACATTTGTAAACTTTAAACTGTTGCGGTAAGGTCTAAAAGTGGTTAAATGGACATTGCAGATATTAGTAGGACCTGCATGTTTCTAGTTACAAATAAAATTACGAATAATCGTGAGAATTAAGTATACTGTTTGCATAAAGAGGGCTCATAGATTCGATTCAGGACTTTCGAAAATGAAATTTGTTTCAACTAGTTTTCTCTTCACAAATTTGTAATATAATAAAAAGTAACAGGTATTGTCACAACCTATGGAATGGTAATAAAATAATAACAATAATACAGCGCAATATAGTCTAACTAACTAATCAACTGATATAAATACTTAGATATTTTTTTTGTATATACATACATAATATACGTAGAAAACACCCAGATCGATACAAACAACCATACTCTAGAATACAAATGTCTGCACCGTGCGAGGAATCGAACCCGTGACCATCGAAAATAAAGCGGTGTGCTAAACCGCTAGACGGTCAAAATAATAAATTAAATTAAATTTCACCAGGATTTAAATGTATATTTTAATAGAATATATCTTAATTAATCTTACCTCAATACCTGGTTGGTACAGACAATAACAGGCCGCTGTGAATTTTCTAGATTATCCTTGAGTTGGAGAACAGCATGGACCCAGAGGAACTGTCCCGAACGCCGCTGAAGCCGGAGAAGTGCGATACACGACCGCTCTTGTTCCGATTGGGTTACTATTAAACAAAAAAACAGTATTAGTATATTAAATGTTACTGATAATATTAATATTCTAATATGAGATAGCGTATCATTACATAGTATAAAACAAAGTCGTTGTCACTGTATGTCCGTCCCTATGTATGCTTAAGTCTTTAAAATTACGCAACGGATATATCTAATTAAAGAGAATATTATAAAATTGTGCGACCGAGCTCTAAGGTTTTTTGTTTATTTATGTAATAAGACATTTTTTCTGTGAAGACAATAAACATATAAAATAATACATAGAATTTATAGTAATAAACCATTATGTTGGGGTATGTAAGTACGTATCATCATTACATAGTATAAAACAAAGTCGCTGTCGCTATGTATGCTTAAATCTTTAAAACTACGCAGCGGATTTTGAGGCGGTTTTTTTAATAGATGGAGTGATTCTAGACAATGGTTTATATGTTTAATACATGTACACCCGGGCGAAGACGGGCCAAGTAGGTAGTTTATAATAAAAAAGTGAAATACGAAACCGGTTTGAGAAATTATTACACTGATGAAAAATAGATTATTCATAGACAAGCCATAATATGTATACATATCTAAATAGGAAATATACGATTATTTGTTTGTTTATTAATACCCATAATTAAATTTAAAACATTTGCTAAATCTTCATATCTATTATTACTCACTAACTGATTGCTTTGACAAACTTGCAGCGGCTGAAGCCCAACTTAAGTCTGACGGATATGACTTTAGTCTGAGGGCACCGCTAGGGATTTGAACCTCGGCTCAGGCCGATGTTATTTCGATCCCCGTTTGAATTGGATGGGGGATCGATTGGAGAACAGGATATATCAATGTTGAGATGAATGCAATACTTAACATGCCTACATTTCGCTAATTACGAGTACATCTTAATCCAATATGGGAAGTGGTGAACCGTTTGTTACTCCGATTATTTTGGTTTGTTATCGCTATTTCCATACACTTTGGAAGTCGGTTGAAAAATAAGTGACTCAAAATTCTACAAACATTAATTAATCAAATACGGGTTCTTCTCAATATTAAAATAATACCTAAAATAATTTCTCGCAAGAACAAAGCTTCTATTTTTTACATTATATACTAACAGGTACTTGGTATTACGACACCAATGAGTTTTTGCTTTCATTCGTCTCTCCATTGATTCATAACTTTTTTCATTCAAATCGTTTTTTGTTGTTGTAATGTTGTTGATACGTCAAACAGACGGACAAAAAGCTCATTGTAATATCAAACGAGCAATTACAAATCCAATCCGAATTGAGTGTGAATTGTTATAATTGAATGAATATACGACTGTAGCTTCTCTAAGGTTATCTAATACAATCTCATGTCTTCTAAGTAGTTAGACATTTCGAAAGACATCACAAGGATATATTAATAATTATTAACTTTAATACGTAATGTAAGATTTAAACTTATTAATTACATTACTTGATTTTAATTTATAAATTTATTAATTATATAATTAAGAATTACAACCAATATAACATTTATGAAATTATTTTTAATTAAAGTTAACTAATTTATGTTTGATGTTACAAAATATTTAATTAGTTATTTACATCAAAAAGTGCTTGTTTGGTAGTTTGTATTTACAGGTAATAAGTTTGGGCTACGTAATATATATGTCATTTGCATTATTTAGTTTGTAAAACTACTGGTCGAATCTTGACCTAACTATTTATTTATTTATTGACTTCAAATTATGCGAGCCTTACAGCTTCCCAATATGCTCGCTTAGAAAAAAAATTACAAAATATGAAATATTAATAATTACACAAAAATATATATATTAAAAGAATAATAACCGACAATTTTACGTGTTATTTAGGAAATCCATTGCCATTCTGCTAAAATTCAACAAGTCACATATAAATATGTGGATCTACATGAGATGCACGAGCTTCCGTATAATTATAACGTCAGGTATAAAACATTTTTGAAAATGTAAAATATACAGTTTAATTAAGAACCTACTCCATCTTTTGAAGTCAGTTGAAAATAATTAGCTAAGTTGTGTCCAGTCAAGAATAATAAATTAATTGATTTTAAATTTATATAATAATAAGTTCGAGAATTATGTACATATCTTTCGTCTGAAACTATGTACATTCCGAAAGTGATGGTAGAATAAAGAGTGTCATTTATTAATAGCTTTTAAGGTATGCTTAAAAAGTTCATTTGAACTTTGTTCCTAGCATTAGCATAACGGAACTGTATATAACTAAATAAATACCTACCGCTTCGCTGAATATCTGACATGAAGACAGATAGATGTATGCCAGCATATTGTACGTATACGTATGTCTATCATGTAACAAGCCCATAGCGACATACTGTCTTAGGAAGGCCGCAAGGTTCTCATAAAACCAGCTTTTAGAGTCGAGGGTCATGGCCCACTACAGTGAGGCTATCGATTAAGTAGCCGCCGCCTAAATCGATAATTCATATTTGTACACAGTGATAGCTTTAATTTTACATGAGATGCGTATGGTCAGACGATGGCATCGAAAACGTACTCATCGCCATTTACGGTGTTCATTCCCGTGTCTATCGATTGTCATAAATGGTTAGTTGCTTGTCGATTAGTGAAGATAATCGAATGAATCGATTTTAATTGATTTATGTTACTTTATTACATCATAATGTTGATACGAATTTATGGTTTTCGATCTTTATGCTCGATTAAACATTTAATAAGTTACTATAAGGTAGTAATTAGCTTTATTAGTTTTAATGGCGCGATACATCAATAGACTACTTCAATCCATTTAATTCCACTATAAAACATAGGGTTGTTTTGGTAGTCAGTTTATACCTGATATACTTTAAAAAGTATATAACTAAGTTATCACCATGAAGGTTGTTTTAACAATGTACATCAATATATGATAATATATAATCTCAACAAAAACTTAACTACTGTAATTCGGTGTAGAATAGTCAAACAGATTAGAGTTTTTGTGGTGAAAGGAGTTTTCGTTCAAACCTACATTGTCCTACATATGTAATTTAATTGTCATATCTCACTTCAAATTGGAATTTGGAATTAAATAGATTTCCCTATACCTATTCATTGCAGTGAATTATAAGTATTGTTAAGCTGTAACTGTAGTAACCTGTAGTACCTATACCATTTATAGTCTATAGAAAAACTATAGTATTTGTTTGTGGTTATTTTTTGGGTATCAATGTATAATAATCACTGTGCTGTAAAGTATCCTTTTATTTCTATCATATCTTTGTCTGCTTCACTATTCACTATTATCATTAAAATATAATTTAGTAAAAATTAAACTAACTAATTATGCTGATTATATCTTATGTCTGTTTCAAAATAAAAAAATAAAGTCCAGTCCTTTATCTGTAAATTGTCTACACAATCCGCATAATAAACTCTATTTGATACCACCAAACATAAATTAGAAAAGCAAATGGCGGCTTTTAGCCGCGCTGAGTTTAATGAGAGCGAAGGTCTTGTGACTGTTCTATACATGCATTAATTCTACGGTTTATAATTAAATACGCATTCTAATTGTCGGACATCCGTGTATAGGTTATTTAGAATTAACATTTATGTGATCAGTGCCGGATTCAGCCAGCGAGGGGCCTGTAGCAAATTCTTTTAAGAGGCCTATTGTTTGGGTTTTGATAAAAATAACTCAAAATCTAATAAATGAAAAATTATATTCTCCGTTTAAACTTTGACATAAAATAGGCATTTTTTATTGTAGGTATTTCGTTCAGATAGTTGTGACTGCGCGGGATCCATAGAATTTGCTACTCTTGCTATTAGGCTAATCCAGCACTGTATGTGATCATGGTCAAGAGTGAACAATAGGAAACAGTGTATATTATATAGTCAAGACAACAATCTAACATTCAGATGACGTGAGGTAGGCACATTTTCATATCAATTGTTATATAACGAATGGAGCTTTCAGCGGGAAAACGGAACTAAATGTAAACACGTAAAGTAATTTGTTCTTAAACAAATTGCGCAAATAACTGACAATATGCCGTGCTAAAGAAAACTGTTATACAAATTCATACAAAAATATTGTATTGTAAGTCATAAGCCTGTTAATGGCGAATGAATACTTATTACTACTGTACCATTACGTTTTACCTATGACTTAAATATTTGTGGTCTCATATTATGTCCAATTAGGGGAGGAAAGAGCCTTGAGAATTGCTTCATCATAGGTTGTATAAATCTAGAGTATACAAGTTGTTATATTCGTGAATATTTAATTAATACAACTTAATATTATTTTATATTAGAAAGAAACGTACTTAAGTGGCTCATTTCGTAAACAAACAATTTTAGTATATAAAGAAAATGCTATTATAAATAGTTTTGCATTTAATTTATTGCAGAAACTATTATATACTAAACTCTAATATCTGTCTCATTTTTAAGACTGTTTACAAAACTACACTTAAGGAATTTACTGAATACTTCACAGCTCTTGTCAGAGAGACAGTCTACGTAAAATTGATGTATAACAAGGAGCCTATTGATCTAAAACACGCAATCCCCATGTTTGTATTGGCAAATTTATTCGTATCTATAAAATGCGCTATTGATTTAGTTCCACTAATAAATACTTAACAGCGATAGTAAATATTTATAGCAAATACTCAGTAGGTAAGCAAGCATAGCCGAGGTCTTTAGATGTCAACAGGATTGAATAATAGGGTCATATTTACTGTGTCTATATCTACGCTATTATACAGATACCGGCAAACTTGAAAAGTAATTTTGTACCACGTGATCTGCGCGGCAGCAATTTTGCATACAAACGCTTCAATTGCTCTAGCTATATGGTTCTGTTTAATTTCTTGCACGTTAACTGTACAAATGTCGGCAATGAACATTTAATGGACTTAATGTCGAAAAGCATCTGTTTAAGATACTGGCAGTCTACTATACATAGGACATCTATCACCTTGAAAAAAATTGTACCCTGTGACCTACAGTATAATAATTAATTATTTAAGTAATCAGTAATTTTGGCAGGAAATTTTATTTATTGTCTGGAAATTTAAATCACAAAACAATTTATTTATTACTTGTGGTCGTTCAATGATCGAAATTGAACCAATATTAATTTAAATTATAATAATGAACATTATTAAGATTCTACTGTTAAAGACTTGCATATATGCGTGTGTATGTATGTCAAATACATGGTAGTGTGTGTAATGTTTTTGATTTAATGTATTTATAATTAAAAAATATATTAGTATTCTACACTCTTTCTATAGTAATAAACTACGAGTGTGCGAAATTTCATACGTAATTTTCGTAAAACGTTGTGGGTTACAAAGTATTTGCTTCATGTAGCAATATAATGATTCTAATAAATAAATAATTAAAGGACTAAAATTGATAAAAAAATAAGAATACCTATTACTGATATTACTATATTTGTGAAATGTATTACAAATGAATCACACTACCAATTGATTAGGTTAATTTCAAGATACAAGATCTAATAATGTAGTAAATTTATAGCTAAAATTATAATTGCTGAAATTATCTCATAATATCAGATAATATCATAAAATGTATCCCACGCAAACGGATTACGAAGGCATTTAGCAAATAATTGTCTCATAAATGCTAATATTTAGATAATGATCTTAAATATACTATTAATTTGATATTTAATTATTTATAGCAATTAGAATGGATAATAGACTTGCAGTTGATATACTGTGTCGATTCTAAGTGAGTAAGGAAACAAAGGTATGACAATATACCTACTGTTAGTCAATGTACAGTTTGAGACAGTCCTGACTCCCAAACCAGCATGAGCTGTATATCAGGAATCTGTGATATTATATTGTACATAGGGTTGATATGCCTTATTCATCAGCAAAGGCAACGCATGCGGAAACCAAGGACGTCTCATGACGCTCATGTTACTGTTCATGTTTAGACGTTGTCACTTTCATCCAGTAGACCATTATCTTGTTTGTTAATTTAAAAACAAATTCGAAGTGACCTCAAGAAAAACATGTCCTAATAATTTTGAACCAGACATGTCCTTATAGTTTTAAACCGCATGTCTATAATTTGTCAGTAGCTTTAAAATATAAACGGATAACTACCAAGTTAATGCATTTGCTGTTACAAATCACATGAAATGAATCACTTCTATTTACAACCATATCATTCGCAAAGAGAGCGTAGGTAGATTCATGGAGTGCGGTCACAAATCAAACCCACTTTGCACACATGCTTGAAATGACTACTTCCAGATAAATCTGTGGTAGTTAGCAGATCCAGTATATAACCATAAAACACTATACCGTGGACTTTTCTGTAACTTAAAATCATAATACCAACTAGATAACATCTCACGAACTATTAACACAGTCCAACTATAGTATCTTCTGATATATATTCACTATAAGAAACAAAAGTGATTGAAATTACAAAGATTATGGTGTAAAATAAATCTTAATTCAAAATAAGAAAACGAAGTTGACGGCTTCGGTAGTCTAGCGGTTTATCACACCGTCTTACTTCCGAAGGTTACGGTGTTCGTTTCCTCGCACGGTATAAACATTTGAATTCATGAGTATGATTGTTTCTATCGGTCTGGGTGGTATCTAGGTATATTATGTATGTATTTACAAAAAATGTATCTATGTAGTTATATCAGTTGTCTAGTACCCATAAAGAACAGCTTAGCTTGGGACTAGATGGCTCTGTGTAAATTGTTCTGAGATATTATTATTATAGAACTATTGTTATAGTCAAAATTTTGAATACAAATTTAAAATTAGAACTCGTTTGTAAGATACGCGTATTTAGCTTGGTCGTTTTTGGCGCCTTGACCGGTCATCTAATAGTTAATAAGACTTGTTGTTTAAAATCAACAGACGAGAACAAAATTGCAGAAATAATCGCCTCTTGTTAACCCCCATTATTCTTACAAGCGCATGCGTATTCTTCGAATGTCAATCTGTACACTTCAAGCTTTGAAATATGACTCATATTTCGATAACAACCGATTTGTTAAATCGAAACATCAAAACTAAATTGTATGGACTGAGTATCGAGGCGTACCGAGTACAAGTATCATTCGAATGATTCGATAATCGGTAAGGACTGTATGACCTTTGAAAATGATACAGCTAGGACATGTAATTTAGAATTCAATCGAGTAGATTTTCAATGAGACAAAGCTAATATCAACAAAAGGTACTTAAAATGAATGTAAGATAGTAATTCTAACATTTTTTAACTTGATGAACTAACATTGTTTATATAAATTCTTAGACCGTATATGTCACGATATTGTAAAATTACTATTCTTACTTTGAAGATACAGTATAATTTACGGTGCATATTATAATTTATAGCCATAACAGTATGGCAGTTTTGGCGCCATAAATCTTCAAGTACCACGTATTTGCATGCAACACGTAGTGAGTGATTATTTGCTCAGCGCATGCAACCATTTTGTCACCTGTCACTCGACCTGGGAAGCACATCTTCACGGTTTAACTTCGAGAGTGTTCCAATTTTGAATTTAGCTAAGCTACTTATTTCTGTCAGCTATAGTCACGAATACCGCTACAGGATTTCAAATTTAGAATTTCACGCCACAAGACCATTCAGCTTAAAGTTGTTTGTCTATGCTTTAATAGTTTGACAGAGTTTGCTCTAGGGTTGTGGCTATTCTCTCTAACACTCAACAGTCAAATAATTTAATTAGTTTAAATTAATAATCTAATAAACATAAAATCTTTTTAAAACTTAATCTTCGAATTATATAATGGCATATATTTTTTTATTTCTTTCATTTTTTAATCTAATTTAATATATTCGTATCAATTTAAACAAATTCACTGAAATAAAAATTAAAGCCAAGCAGAGTTTATGTTATGTGTATTAAATAACTAATATCTTTTTAAATATAATATTTAGACATGTTTTTATTAAATGTAAATTTAATATACATAGTAAACCTGCGACCAACCGAGGCAAATCATTGTGAAAAACCGCTAGGTCATCGTCAAAAACAAATATGGTACCACCATATTTTTTCCTATCACAGATAACATTTCCTATTTAGTAAATGTTTGGCACTATAAAAGCGGCAAACCCTATAGTGAGTAGTGAGTACTCGAGTTCTCGATTCGGATTTAATCGCTCACGTATTCCGCAGTTCACACACGAACGTCACGCCGTCGACATGCAACTTTCCCTGGATAAATCGAGTTAAACGCACTCATATTGTCACAGGTTATCGAGTACAATCGCCAGATGTATGACGATGGCTTAATCTTGCGTCGTAGTATGTTTTGAAATGACAAATTAGATTTAAGAGATTTTGAATGCGGAACATTATGGAATGTTATATTTTCACACGTTTGTTTTTGTTCAATGTGTGCATAAAAGCATATGAATTCTTTAAGACTGTCCTAGATTTATATTTAGCGTAGTAGAGTCCGTACAAGGTCGCGAGTCTGTCTATCTCACCTATTTAAGGCGCCTAGTAGCTGGCTTTATAAGTTGTGTTTTGGTTCTAGGGTGCAATACAGGTGCAGTACTTAGACATTTTAATTCTCTGGAATAGCAACCCATACGTGGTACAACACACAACTTACGTGTGGCTCATGGTAACGTGATGCATGTATTAGTCCACTGCTGGACTGTATGTTTTGCATAATTTTCCAATTTTTTATGATCTGTGGCGCACCTTGTCAGGACACCAGCGCCTATATATTTTTATTTTACTTATGTATTTCAGGCTACTAATGGCTTATTATTAAATAACTTATAGACTAACTAATTGCCATTAGGTGGGTTACAAATTTGTTTGTCATTTTAATTAAATAATATACTTACTTAGTCGGTGCTTGCTCTGTGCTTCTTTGCAGCAGTCAGGGTGGAGAAGATGGTACCAGCTGACTCCATGCAGTGAACTACGCTCCCAGCCCAGGTGCCATTCACTACTGGACAAAAATAAACATTTTAATTTACTTATTATATAGAGAGATATTCTCAACTAGTGTGGGCATGGCAAGTGCTATGATCAACATAGTACCGACAGTTGACAGTAACACTGACTATTCCCATGTAGGATTGTAGTCTTGAAAATATTTATGTATATATTTGTGGTTTACATTAGTAATTTTTTTTAAACCGCGTGTAAATAAACGTATTTACTACTAAGACGTGGAATAACTATATATATGTATTAAACATGAAAAATTTAAAAGTAACTAGTGATATTTAAAAAAAAAACAATACTTGAATAGTGACGTAAAGACAATTTTCCCTCGTTCAAAGATGACTCTATTTATTGTTCTATACACGCATTAAAGCTTAAATAAAAGTTCAGTTTTGTAATCGCATAGTGTCATTTAATCAAAAACATGCTGTATTCTCAATTAATTATTACTGTAGCCACTGAATTGCAACAACAAATGCACACCTCATTAATTAGTCAACAAAAGTTTGTATCAAAGACAAGAAAGCTCCAAATTAACCTCCTTAGTTTACAAGCTAAAGCGAGACAGTCAATTAAAATAATGATAAATGTAATTAAAGTGATCTTGACATGGACAAAACAAATATCTGATAGGGTCATCTTAGCAATCAATCATGACAAAGACCTTGAAGCCACAATATACTATACTTCGATTCCGATTTGGAATGTTGGTACAGTTTTGATTTCATAATAATTACTTATTCAACACTTCAAAATTAGTGATGTGCAAACGCGATGTGTGGAATAAAAAAGTCGGTCCGATCTTTCTGATTCATTAATTTTTTTCCAAGCTATAGAAATTTTAATTAAGATTATTTACTATTTAATTATGTTATTGGTGTTAGATAAATTTTAATGTAATGGATGTTAGTTTAATATGTACAGTATGCTGGTAATGTACTATTGAAATAATTACGGGTGTCCTAGAATTTAAATTTATAAACAGTATCACAATATATGACAAAGAGACTTGATTTTATATGCTTATTCCAATGAAGATGAATTACCCTGGAATGTTTTCAGGGGGACTCCGTGGAGGTCAATATGGCTTGGTGCAATGATAGTAATGGGATTACTAGTACGCATTATTAACAATCCACTTCCTACCTTGTATTATATAATTATGTAAACCTTCCGGAGAAAATTCTCGAAATGATGAAGAAAACCGTATCAAAATCTGTTTGTTGAAAATCCGTGGTTTAGAAGTACAAACGAAAATCGAGACTTCGATTCGTAGTATTTAGAGATAAATAATCAATTAATAATGTAACTTAACAAAGCTCAAGTCCATGACCTACATGTCACTAAGAAAACCCTCCAAAGTGAAGTACCTGCCTACTGTCGATAAAACAAACGCAAATATTATTCGCTTTATTAAATGGCACTCGTTGTCAGCTATCACTTATTACAAAGTCGTAAAGTTCAATATTCTATAGCTAGAATGGATTAATAAAATTTAGGTACCCATATTTCATAATACTGAAGAAGGTAGCAAAGAAAATAACTTACCAAAACAATATTGAAACATTGGCCGAGGTTAGATGCTGTTTGTTTTTACAGGCTTAAACACTATTTTTTTATTATGAGAATAGATTTTAACATTCAATTTTTATTTAGTACTTATAGACATAGTAGTTTAACAAGTTAGTGTATAATCGAGCGCCTGAAATGTACTTAACAATATAGCTAGAACAGCAATGAAATGTTATTTTTTTTACTAATAATATACTACCACAGATAACATAATATTACTTAATACTACTAAATAATAAACTAAAATAAAAATGAAATATTTTTACTGAATAATATTTCATAGGTTTTTTAATTTTTAATTTATTAACTAACGACCCGTATATATTGATTTATTCTAGTTTTTAAATTTTTTTATGAATCCAAGTTACACCTTTCGTTACTGTTTTGTAGTTTAGTACATAAAAAAATAAAATAATATAAGCAATGATTAAAATCGATCAAGCAATTTTTGAGTTTATCTATTCCATTACATATATAAAGAAAGAATCTAATAGTCCAGATGATAAATAGTCCCGACTGACTTCGGTCCAGGTTACTACTTCATTCCAGACCACTTAGCTGATGAAAAAAAGGCTATTAAATAGGTATTATGTTGGCTATGCTATTTTATGTAATTGGAATGCAAACTAGCTGACGGTCCACCTGATGCTAAGTGTCATCGTCTATATACATGAAAATCATTAGTTTATATAAATATATATATTTTGTAAACAAAATATTGAAATTTATCTACTTAGAACGTTGTCTATTTATCGACCTCGGTGGTCTAGTGATTTAGCACACCGATCTACTTTTGTTGGTTGTGAATTCGATTCCTTGCACGACGCAAACATTTGTATTCATGAATATGAAAAGTTTGTTATTAATTAATTAGTTAATTAGCTTGGGTATTTTCTATGTATATTATGTATGCATTTACAAACAATTTACCTTAATGTTGATATAAACATATATATATATATATATTTATATATATATAGTACTTATAGCATAAGCTGTGTTTAGCTTGGGACTAGATGACGCTGCGCTGTGTGAATTATGTCGAGATATCACTGTTCTTATCTAATTTAAAATAAATTAGGTATATGACATTACGATACCCTTTAAAATTTTACTAAATCAATTTTAAATGTTTTCAAACCCGCATTATAGTTGACCTTTGTATTGGTTATCGGTCAACTGTGAAAGATCTTTGCGAACAACAGGAAACAACATTGGAGTACAGATCCGTGATTTTATAAGCTGAACTTCTGCGGAACGTTAATAAAAATATAGTTACGTATAAGTGACTCATGAAATTGAATAAATATAAACATACAGTTATTTACATCATCCAATTACTAGCTGGCCCGCGGTTATACCCGCATGAAAATTTAGCCTATATGTTATTCTGATGTATAAGCTAGCTAAATATTGCTGTAAAGTTTCGTCATAACCGTTAAATCATGTTTAGTTAAGGGTGGCTAGTCAATATGAGTAGTATATTAGTAGTATAGTAGTTATACTTAGTTCGATGAAATGCGATACAGGCACAGATATTACAGGTATGTCTAATTTTGAAGAATAAAGCCCATTTTATTAGCTGTTGATGTAGATTCGTATAGGTCATAAAATTATATAACAATAACAATCGTGGACAAATTACACAGCGCCATCTAGTCCTAAGCTAAGCAGAGCTTAGCTGGCTGTAGTCTGTATCTTACCTTGGGACTAGATGGCGCTGTGTGTATTATCCAGGGTAATTAATAATTACTACTTTTTTTTACTAATTCATTATGATAGCGAAAGTTTGTTTATTTGTTTGTTGTCTTTTCACGATTAAACTGCTAAATGGATCTTAATGAATTTGCTCCTAAAAATAGATTATTTCATAAGAAAAGACTATCAGAAGAAAAAACCAACCAAACAGCTGGTACTTCATTAAAAGTAAAACCAAATTGTTTCATTACAAATGACATTTTAATCATCATTTGCTGTCTGAATGAAATGGATGACTGTATGTGTGGGTATAAACTGACTACTGAGGTAGCTTGTACCAGCATTGTATGCAAACTCGTGTCCCGGGCAGGTGACAATCTCCCGTTGTTTGGACAGCGATACGCTCAAACAATGCCTGTTGGTTTGTATATCATGTTTACTACCAACATTATAATTTGTTTAATGGTAATAAGCCATTTAGAAATGGCAATTTTTAATCTGTACAAAGTTTGTACAGTCTATTTAATTGTAAAACTATACGTTTGCAATATATGTTATTTTCTATAACAATATAGTGGATCTAAAAGATTATCCAACTTATTATAATTAAATAAACTTTTATTTTAATTTTTAAACAATGCAAAGTACGAAATGGAATATAGACAATCTACTTAATAATATATGAACGCCTAAACTAATACGGAAGTAGGAGAACACTAAGTCCCAATTTCGTGAACAGTTTTATTTATAAAAGATATTTATGTTGTTTTAGACGCCTTAAATTTTAAAATGTATATATGTACTATTACATTATGTACATATTAAATGTATCCACTTATTTGACGTTTTATACATAATCGATATCATAAATTTATAACTTTACAATTATTTTTATTGCTAATATAATAAAACCAGTGTAGTATAAAATAGTTCATAATTAGTCGCATAATATAAATTGTTTAACAATTTACTGATGCCAAAAGCTGAACTTGTGGTATAGGTACTTATTAGACAACTAATAAACATTCTAATAAGCTTGAAGATTACTTTTTTTCGAATTAGTCTAATACTGTTGGTTGCAGCTGGTCCATACAGCTTTAGTCTAAGGGCATCATTAGAGGTCGTAACCTCGACTCAGGCTACCGTAATTTCGATCCCTGTTTGAATTAGACAGGGGATAGATCGGAGGTTTTAATAAGCATAGTTATTATTTACTTCTTAAATATTCAGACATGTATAATATATATAATAGCTAATTATATATTTATAATAAACGATATCATTACTATTGTTGCTATCTTTTATTTAATTTTTCTTTCAACTGTCTTACTTTGTCGACGGCAAAGTCATTCCCATTGACTAACTATTTACAATTGCATATTGTTTCAACTCGTTTTATTATTTGAGGCCTTTAAGGCAGTGACGCGATTCATGAATAAGAAGCACTCAATATAGATGTCATAGATCTCGCTTTGACATACGGTAGCTGGACTGCTACGCATCAGTCACCATTGTTCATTGTGTACCTTGAAATAGTGCATGTATTATGCAGTAGCGAGTTTACATAGCGAATCATAATTTAACGTTGTGTTATTCTAACATTAGTTACAATGTGAATAACATTTCAGCCAACCTCTCTTTAGTAAGAAAATGTTTTCAATTTGACTATGCTTTTTTTGTGTGTGTGTTTTTTATGATACGCGTTATTTTTGTCTTGCTATAGAATTGCGCATTAATTAAGTAATAATATGGACGTAAGGGTAGATGAAGATCTAAAACAGAGGAACGCAATGTATAGAACATGGGGAGAAAGAGAAAGAAAACTAAGATGACTGCAAACAGACTGACGAGACTATGTAAAATCAGATAAAAGAGATAAATTACAGGATATGGAGGTGCATTATTTATATATAATTATAGCATATTACGGGACGTGCTGTTCATGTACTGCACTGTGAAGAAGATTCTTCCTTCATCTGATTAGATTGATAGCGGCGTGTGGTAGTAGCTTGGTGTCTATGTGCAGTATTTTCATGTTCATGGCGTGGTCGGTGGTGGCACTTGTCTTGGCACTCTGTATTATGAAGTGGACTCTTTTTTCACCTGAATATATCGACTGCGGTGTTTAGTACTTACTTAGTGTAGTATCTTAATGTCGATGGCTTGACGGTGGTGAAGACTTTGGAGACAATTGTCTTGATCTCATGAACTAGGACTCCATGAACTAGGATCTCTCTTCCCTTGAATAGATCGACAGCGGCGTGTGGTACTTACTTGGCTTCAATGTGCAGTATTTTCATATTTAAGGTGTGCACGGTGGTAAAGACGTTGGTGGTACTTGTCTTTACACTCTATACGATGAACTAGTGTTTTCCTTCCCCTAAATAGCTTGCCAGTGGTGTGTGGGTACATCATGTCCACAGTATGCACGGTGTTGCAGATGTTGGAGGTATGACACTCACGTCTTGACACTCTGTACCATGCAGAAAAGTCGTCCTTCATCTAAATAGATCAACAGCGGTGTGTGGTACTTACTTGGTGTCTATGTGCAGTATCTTCATGTCCATGGCGTGCACGGTGGTGAAGACGTTGGTGGCGCCGTGCACGACGCACTCGCGCGTCTCCGGCATCGCCAGCGGCGTGCACACCGCCAGGAACACGGGCTCGTTGCGGCTGCACAGCGGCAGGTACGATACGTAATGACCTCGAACTAACACCACCTGAAAAGAAATTTCTTGTTAAAATATTTTCTTAATACAGTCTCTTAAGGGACAACAAAAAATGGCAAATGTTTATGAATAGGGCCATGCATGTAAAAAAGAAAATATATATATATATTTCAAAATAGTGATCTACCAAAAATGTTACGAATATATATCGGCTAATTGGACTATTGACTGATAGTTAAAGAATCAGGCATAATGAATGTCTGCCATATACATAAATTTGTGTGCAGAATAATGATCATTCATCAGTTTTCCAAAAAGAACAGTTGTCAAAAAGGTTTATTCTTTTTCAACAATATATCATTTATATTCATATAACTAAAATAGATATCTTAATTATCGGCAATCACATCAATAAAAGTATATAACATCTTGCTTTCATTATTTTGACATGCGCTCCGTGACTTTTATTGGCGGAGCATAAATCTGAAGTAGACAACTATGTACGTAGTGGGTTGCGGTTACAATAAAAGTGAAACAGCCACTGACAACCCAAGGTCGCAATGTCACTCTCGAATAACTGAAAAGCTTTTAGATAAATAGATAGATAGAATATACTTTATTTGCAACGTACAGTAAAGAAGAAGCACAAACAATATAACAAAAGACACATGTATCGTTACAATAAGGCGGCCTTATTGCTAAAAGCAATCTTTAATCTTTTAGTGATCCTTCGTAGAATCAATAAAGCGAAACGTAACAATTTATGCAATAGATACCAAAAATATTCTTTACATTGTAATACTAGGGAAACTGAAGTAAGTTTTAAGATATTAATTTCAATAATAGTTTCACGGGTAAATCTAGATTTTTAATTAGAAGCTGATATATTAGTCTTAGGTAATGGCAATGCATGGACGGTATTACTGGCGTCATATGATAACGTGATATGCTGTTTATGTAATTTTACAGGTGACGGTCTAATCAGATATTAAAATAAACTTAATGATTTCAATAATGGGTTTACGTATAAACTTAGACAATATACTATTTATACAGCAAGAGAATGTTTATAAGAAAGAAAATTACACACTTTATATTTTCGTGGAATGCTGTTTTCTAAACAATAATTTTAAGCAACTTTTTGACAATGCTGCGATGCTGGATAAATGTGGATCTACAGATAACCTATGGATTTTAGTTTATTATTTGTTTTATTTACTTTCGATGTTTCTTTTAATTTAATGACTTTTTTAGATATAACATCATTATATAAAAAATAATGATTTTATATCCTATTCTTGTAAGTACAATTTATATCATATAATAATTTATATGCCGTTGTTAGCATAATCATTGTTATATATTGTGATAAGTTTTATTCTTTTTATTTCATCTTTATAGTTTTTATTATAGTTTTTAAGCCATATTTGACCTACTCCCGATAACAAAGACTTTTAGTAGGTATATGTGTGTGGTGTATTTGCGAATGTTGCACTTTAGCTACTTACATAAGTCGTCGGATGCAAGGTTTTATTGTATTTTAGGCGCTTTACGTTGATCATAATTTTAATTTTACTACATACAGTAGAAACTTTGTGTAGCGAATATGCCTTAATTTTCTCTATGTTAGGAAAAGTCATCTCTATGTTAAGTTTCATGGTATTTCATTAACACGTTAAGTGAAAACGTAACAAACTTCAGTATACATAGATTATATAGTTAAGGATATAAAATAAAGCAGATGAACTTAGTTAATACACTTTAAAACGTGAGACATGTCACTATTTCTTTTAGTTACCACTAAACTTTGACACGCTGTTTCACTACAAACTCGGAGCGGGTGTGTCGCTTTGACATTCTTTAAAGTTTTAACAACAATGGGAGATAAGTTCGACACAATAGTTCACAGTTCAAACCACTCACCGAGATCTTCGATCCGGCTCCATATGGCCTTGGACGATATTATTTTATTGTATTGAACGTATTCATAGTGCAGGACGTGGGTTTAAAATCATGTCGCTTAGTATTAAGTAATCTATATTAGTTTTGTGAGTTTGGATAATCGAGATATTCTGTATTACAGTTTGGATTTTAAAAATCCCTTTAGTGTTGGATAGCTCATTAATCGAGGAAGAATATAAACTCATCATCTGCTTCTTTCTTATCCTATTTATTTGGGGTCGGCATAATATCTTTGTTCATTCAAATTCATTTTGGGGACGAATATAGACTATACATAAAACACATTATGATTACTAGGAGCGAATCTGAACTAATGTTGCAAAAACAGGGAAAATGTGATGGAATCGAAGTTGCGTGAGTCAGTTAATCTATAATAAATATGTGTTTCTGGATAATTCAGAGCGCCATCTTATCTTAAACTCAGATATACCGTAAGTGATTTAGTGAAAGACATAAGTCTTTTGTTATAAATATATATATAGTATATGTGGCAAATAAAATATTTACATTTTATTCACCACTAGCTTTTGCCCATAGCTTCGCTCGCGTTAATTTATCCCCTTGAGGATAGAATTAATCAAAATCCTTTCTTAGCGGATGCTTACGTCATAGTAGCTTTATGCATGCCAAATTTCAGCTCGATTCGTACAGTGGTTTCATACAAACTTTCATCACTATTTTAGTCACCTTTGAGTTATATATATTTAGATTATTTCGATAAAAAAACAAGCTAAAATTGTTAATTTAAAAAATAATGAATAAAGGTCACGGCCCGAGACTTCGTACATGGTGCATCTTATCGCAATAAAAATGGCTGTAATCAAAAATGTTAGATCACTATGTCAGTCACCTTTGAGTTATATATATTTAGATTATTTCGATAAAAAAACAAGCTAAAATTGTTAATTTAAAAAATAATGAATAAAGGTCACGGCCTTACGAGAACTAATATGTACATAATAATGCATCTTATCGCAATAAAAATGTATTGATAAGTAATCAAAAATGTTTGAAGTTGTGACTGCGACAAAGTACAAAGGTGGTCGTAGGTTCACTTCAGAACACAGTCCGTTGTATAATTAAACGTAACTAACAGAGAGATTGGGATCATCGACAATTCTCATAGGTCTCTGATCAAAAGGACCGAGCACGGTCTCCTGAACCGAGTCAAAAGGACCGAGCTGGTATCCAGGTGCTCCTGCCCAAAGATGTGAGCAGTAATAACTTGAGACTTATTAAACAATGTACATGATACTGTGTAGAGATAAAACCTAGAGATTAAATATGTGTAATTAAAATAGTCTATAATACGTTTAATAATTAAACAATGTACATGATAGTAAATAAAACCTATTAAATATAATTTAACATAGTCTATAATAATTTTGATCCTTGTGTAGTAATAAATAAATATATAATATATGTTTAAAATCATTAAAATTTAATATACCGCGTAAAGTGAATGGTAGATTTGAGATGTGAGTTGTTGATATTTATGTTATGGTTTCATGCTTGACTGTAATGAACTCCTTCTGTCACGTTCTTACTATGTTCGATATGAATTGAAATTATTCAAATTATTTCGCAACATTGCAATAATCACCATAACTAAATTCTAGAGCTAGTTTGTTTATGCTTTCAAACCAACAAACATATAACAATCATCGTGAAATTTAACGTCAGTCAAGAAATATTTAAAATTACCTTTTTTATGGAACTACAAGTTAAAAGGTAACTGTCGCTTATATACATGAATAACAATACGGACGACACACATTATCATGTGATAGTCGTGATACTACTCATACGATACCATTTCAGAGGACTAATTAATAATACTATTAAATATCCTGCCTAAGCGTACCCTACAGTTGAAATAGTATAAAAGCAAGCTGCTTGGAGTTCGAAATGGGTGACCGAGAAGAATAGGTAGACTTAATTCAGTCTACCTCTTGTCAAACATAAAAATTAAAGTTTAATTATAATCAGAACATATATAGTGTTAGGAATTAAATACAATTTCTAACCGTGATTTCATACGATCAAAGTACCAACAAAAATTATCCCATATATGTGTATGATCATATGCATATTTTTTCTCTATCCTAATTGTAACAAATTGGGGGGAAAGGAGATTGTTAGTAATGTGGACTCATGACCCCATTACTAGCAATGTACCATGTCAGGTTGACCTCCACGCGGTTCCCCCTGGAAACCATCGTGATAAGTTCGCGGTGAGGTTGTCACGATGGGCTAACTAACCTGGCCTCATGTTCATCTTATCATCCTCCACTGGTGCCCCGCCAGCGTAAACCGTTAGCGCAGGCGGGTGCACCATTACATTATCATCCATAAAAAAAAAATTGTAACAAATTTCATGATAATTAGTTAAGTCGTAATGACATGTGATCGTACGAACGTTAGCATTTATATTATTGTATATTTACATAAAAGTATAGTAAATTGATTAATTTCCGGTACATTTATAAGTTGTCTTTAAAAGATTACACCGATAAGACCGACTTTTATAATCAACTTTAAACATACTTTTAAATATTTATTTGTTATCTGTGCGCAATAAAGAGTTATTATTATTATTATTCGAAAAAATATATAGTTATAACACTATTCCTTTATTTTAGAAATAGCCTATGAATACGGACAGACTCAATGAGTTGCGCAGAGTAACACAATATGCTTGCGTAAAAAGTTTAATCTACTTAACAATGTAGTTACATTTAAATGATGTGTACGCAGCGGGCCGCAGTGTGCGCCTGATTGTATCACATGTTATAAATGGAACGTTGTATGACAACATTATCGTCTGGTAGCTTGTGATTTTAGCTGAATGTATTCAAACTTCACACAATTCGTGTAGTACATTTTCGCCACTTAAGCATGTCAGTATTTTATATGTACTTGTGAAAAATTGTTCGACATGATGTCTATGGTTAGTTTTTAGCATTGCATGATGCTAATAGGCAACCCTACGAGTGAATGGCGTAAGTGGACGAATTCATCCACACACGCTGGAACCTAAGTGGTCTCAGACAGTGAGGTTACAGAGGTGAATCCTCTCACATACACTT